CGAGGGTCTGAAAAGCATCGTCTTGGGAACAACAGATTCTGCAAGCACGCGCACTCGAAATGCACTCATGTCCATCTTTCGAGGGACTGGCAATGGCTCGGATAAAGGCACATTGAAGATCTCGAGGGTCTGAAAAGCATGGTCTGGGGAACCTTGCGCACTCGAAATGCAATCATGTCCATCTGGTCTGTTTCTCTTGTCTCCAACTCGAGCCCTCCCCCCCCCCCCCCCCCAGAAACAAACTAACTCTGCAACGAAACGTTTGTTTTGGGAGTGAAAAACAAAAGTTTCATGAGCCTCCGTAATAGAAACAGTAATAGGAGGTGAAGGGAAATGTTTGTTTCGGGAGTAAAAAACAAAGGTTTTCAGAACAAAAAGTTTGTTTCGGTAGTCAAAAACATAGTCAAAAACAAAGGTTTCGGGAGCGTTTGTTTCGAGATCCAAAAACTCTAGTTTCGAATGTTTGTTTTTCAGGAAGAAAACTAAAGTTTCACCTGGCAAGCAGAAAACAATGGTTTTCGTGCGTAGAAACTTTAGTTTCCACTAGTTTGAAAAACTCAAGCTTTCTCACCTGGAAACAAACTTTAGTTTCCACTGTTTTCAGAAACTTTTGTTTCCAACTCGGAAACAAACTTACTTTTCATGAGTTTGTCCACTGACGGTTTATTCGAAAGAAACAAAGGTTCTCCGAAGCTCGGGGTTTGTTTTTTTCGAGTTTAGAACCATGCTGGCAAAGTTTAGTTCAGAGTTTGAGGGTTGAAACAAAGGTTTCGTCCAATCCTTCGTTTTCAAGAGAAACTCTAGATAATAACATTTGTTTGTCGCCATAAAAACTTTAGTTTTCTGTCCGCTGTCTGTCTTTTGAATTATTCGGCTTTACCTTGGCTTCGAAAATGATTGTTTTTGCAGCTGGAAACTAACTTTTTACTCCTGCGGAAAAAGTTTGTTTCTCGGCTTGAAACAAACCTGTGGAAGGAGAAACTTGAATTTCTTCCCTATAAACTAACTAGTGCTTCAGTCCCTTCTGTCCCTAGTAGGTTCCTTTTCTATTAGGTTGGAGGCCATTGCATTGAAGGTCGAGGGGTTTCATGCATCGCCTAGATCTAGAAGCACGTCCGGTCGGTCCTGCCGAAGGCCATTGGGCGGAGGCCGAAGTGGTCTCCCACAACAAAGATCAGGTGATCTACCTTTCCGTGGCAAGATGCTTTCTATAATCATCACAAGAAACAGAAACAAGTGCCAGATTTCCAGGAACATGCTCCAGTTGGAAGGCTCCTGATCAAGACCATTACTTGTGTAAAAGCACCTCCAGGTACTACCTCAGTTCCTTAGCTCCACGAGCAACCTCTATATATATATATATCTAACATTCTATTGTCCAGCAGCGCTCGACTTGGTTGCGACCTCTTCTGGCTTGGCTGCGACATGTTCCAAAGCCTTTGACAAGCCAAAAGTGCGTCGTTCATTTCATTGCAGAGCTTCCTGTTCACTCCATCAAGCGCAAAACCATTCAATTGGACGAAGTTGTGTAGCTTAATTAATTAATGGAACTGTAGATTTGCCTAAGTTGCATCTTGGTCCACTCTCGAATTCACACTGCATAGTAGTTTGCAAAATTCACATTGACATGAAGACTTGGACCCCTTTCTTCTCATACTTTGCCTTCTCGACAGTTTCAGGCGCGTCCTGGTTGCGCAGTCACGGTGTTCTTTGCGAAAAGTAATTGGCAAGCGCAAAGTTGGCGATCGCAGAAATCCCCCCAGGGGAAGCGTGCCCTGAGTGCACTTGGCAAAGTTTCTGCTCGTAGTCAATTTTCTTGAGGTTTCAGATACACCGTTAGATTGACACACGACCTTGCTTTTATGTATACTGTATACTTTTTAAACGCGCTTTTTAGGCAAGAGCACCAACACCTGAGGCTTTAAATTAAAGAGTCGCCAAAGCTGGCATACACCAAGATCTCTTTCCCGCTCCTCCTGGAGCACAAACAAACGTCCACGTTGGCCACGAAGCTGAGGGCAAAGGGACCAAAAGGGACATGATTGTCTCAAGTTTTTTCGTTTCAGTTGACGGTTGGTCCAGAATCCACCGGGTATATAACTATAATTACCCCTCTCGTCTCTCGTATTGAAAATTAATTAAACCTCTCAACACCGCTCAATTACGTAGAACTAGGCTGCGTTCTCTGCACACTTATGTATGTCAATTCATAAAAACAACCAACCTTCACGTTTTTGGGTCATTTGCCAAGAGTGCAACACTATATCCAAAACATTGCAACACTCCCAACATTCTGTACTTGTACAAATGCAAGTTTCTTTTTGTTGTAGTTTTGTTTCAAAAATATCAAGAAACTAGTTTGCCACCTCTTGACTTTGGTCACTGCTCTGGAGATCGCAGGAGAAAAATCGAGTGATGCTGACAGGTAGGCCTTATGGCTCTTTAGCAAGTTGACAATGAGCCTTGGCTAAAGCTGCAAGCTCTGAGACAACTGTAAGAACCTCCTGAAGAAACCTCGGAGTTTCTTCCATGACTCACCGCCAGAAATTGATCCCATTGCAAGTTTCAACTGCAATGTCTTGCAGGGCCCGAACGATCGCATGGATGCCTGGCTGCGTACAGTGCACAGTGAAATTGGTAAAGCTGCAGAAAGTTTGCATTGCACAAAGGCACTGGTTCCACTTCAAATAATATACTGTATACTGTATATGTATATACATATTCTTTAAAAAATATATATACATATATATATTATAAGTGCGATTAAGAAGAGTAATTTAGCACAAGCGAAAGTTGGATGAGAGGCAAAGTCATTATGTTAGAGTTGAATAGAGTTGCTAAGTGTTGCATTGACTGACGCTTGGTTCTACTTTATCAGGACCACAAACAAAGGATGAGTGCGTTGACAGTACTCGTTAGTGTAAGGGACAAGCAATTAGTAGCCCTACAAGCCTCCATAGAGCATGTCTCGTCTGGATAGAAAAGGATTTGGTATGCACAAAGGCTCAGGTACATATAGTCCCGAGTACTTACCTACTACTAATAAGCACTCGCCCATAAACACACCACGTCGGAAACCCCTATATAAGTACGGTTATGGCCGGCTTTGGCCGACTTTTTAGGTTCCAAAGATAGCACTAGCTACCCACCTCTGTCCACCCTGTCTATCTACCATGACACGCCGTGTTTACACCAGCAGGCTTTTCTTCCACCAATTGCACGGACTCAGGCAAACTCACTCGCCACCGAGGTCGCGCAAAACCGCATGGCACAGCGACATCAACTTTCGAACGCTGTACGGCAATCGTTAGTTTAATGAATAATCACTATATTGCATGTTAATAAAGCTTTTTGCAAGGGGAAAAGGAAGACCCTTCGATCTGGAGGTTTTTCCATTTTTGATACGAGTTTAATAAAGGATTGTATATGTTTTTCGTGGGTGACTTTTGATTTTGAACCTATTTTGGACAACCCCTACGATGGACCCCCTATTTAAAAAATGCACCCGAGTTTTTGCTAATAGGGGGGGCAGTGTTTATTACAGTACGAGTAATAGGTGGAAGGGATTACACAGGTTCATTGCTCCGATGCGCTCGGCATCAAGTCTAGAGTCTAGAACGATTCTGGCCCAATGCAGGCCAAGGTTCATGATGTTTTAAAATAGAAACACATGCTATAGATTGATGCTCAAAAGTTTTCGGGAGGATAGTGCCTCCTCCCAGCTCCGCCAGCCAGGCACAGGCTGCTGGTTGAGCATCTGTTGCAGGCGAAGAGCCGTTTGGCGCCTTGGAAACTGAAAAGCCGCAATGAAAGCCAAAGCTTTAACCTAAGACTGTGAACACTTTAAACTTCAAGCAAGCCGGCGCTGCTCAAATTGGGATTCCTTTGAAAAACGTTGGACAAGTGCAAATGAAACTTTGACGAGGTTTCTGCTAAGATCCAGGGGCTCCCGTCGGATCCTGTCCATTACACCCCAGCATGCTGAGAATAAGCTCCTCTGCAGAAACAAACAAAAGGATTCACCGGAGTCCAGTTTGAGTCCTGGACTCTTCGAGGAATTGATCTTGTGCCTCTCTCCCAACAACCTCAGAGAACAAACGTGTCTTCATGTGCTTTCATGCAGCGCGTGTTTCCTAACTATTCCTGCTCACATTAGCCGCCTGTTTTGTTACTTTGTTCTGATCCTTTCTGCGGCCAACTTCGCTGCAATTAACTGCATACCTGGCTAGCATTTAATCCCTCGGAAGTAATCCTTCAAATCAAGTGTCCAATCAATGCCTGATGTTGCTAAAGCAAAACATGCTGATAACAAGTTCGGCTAAAACGACATGCGTACCCTTGGCGACACACCGTCCAATTACTCAACTGGTACCCGCTTTCGTGCCAACCCACTTAGTCATTCAGGCGCTACCTTTGGTGAACAAAAGACTCTTGTGGCTCCCCAACTTCTACAGCTCCAACTGGGGCCGCACCTGCAAACAACTCCACGCAGCATAGGCACTTCAAGCAAAGTCAGCCACACTTGTAGATGCACTGTTGTGGACATGTTTGGCCAAAGCATCCAGGATGTTCAAGAGGTTCTATATAGATATATAAGCAAAACAATCTTGGTGCTCCTTGGCCCCTCAGCTAATGAACACGACTGCTGTTCAAGGATATTTTAAAAAATTATCAGCTCACCTTAAGCTGCCTAGATCCCACAGCACCTGCTGGTGGTTGGCCATCCAAACTTTCCAGAAGACCCACGCCGAGCCTCGGCCTCGCAAAAAGAATTGATGAAAAAGGAACTAGAATCACGCCAGCAAGCAAAGGAAAACGCTACCAATTAACAGCGCAAAAAGTCGCAACAGCCTTTTGAGATACCTTCTGTAGGTATGTTCCAATAACCATGCTATAGCCTCAAACTGGGCCCTGTACCGTTGGGGACGCTTTTAGCTTCCGAGTTTAGTTTAGCATTATACGCATGTTACATATTATATCATTGTATTGTTTTTCAATTCTTGTGTATTACATAAGTATATATATATATATTGTGGTGCGCATGCATACATATACATAACTATACAAATACATCATACAAAATTTGGGCGACAGCTTTGCACAGTGAATCTTGGGATTGGGAAAGCGTGTGACTTGTGACACTTGTGACACAATTTTCTAGAACCCAAGTTCCGGGCTCCAGGCGTCCAAGAAGGTTTAGTGAAGGCAGCTAAGAAGATGGAGTCTTTGCGCGGCCTTCCAAGTCTCAACAATCAAGCACATCGAAATGCTTGTGGAAAGGTTCTTCAACCCTTGACAATTGTTGAAGTGTTTGTTGCAACTGCCGTTGTTTTTGCTGACACAATGCCCCATAGACATTTCTGCGTTGCTACGAACAAGAATGCTGCGAAGGACAGTCTGCTGTCTTGGGCAAGTAGTTGTTGATGGTAATTATGTGCAGCAGGAACAAACACTACTAGATGCTTCTAGCTGGCTACGAGACCGCTTTCTTCTTTGTTGGCTGAGGGGTAGGCCGGGTAGGTCGTAGTCTGTGAAGGAGGGGGCAGGGGCAAAGCAGCTAAGTTAAGTAGTAGCGAAAAAGCTAATTACAGTAAATGCAAGGATTTAGTAGAGCGATAATTTTCACCGAAATTGAGCTTAACTGTTTGTCTTGTATCTGTCTTCCGCCTTTGCTGGTAGCAGGAACGTTGTCCTTTAGTTTAGTTGTTGCGTTTGCATTGTCTGCCGCAGTACGTGCCTGGGCCCCAAAGTGGATGCTAGGCAGCGGCAGAAAACATCGAGTCCTCTGACACTGGAACTCTCGACCAGCGCTTGCTCTAAGGCCTTTTCAGCTACAGTGACTTTCTTGGTGGTAGTGGTGGGGGTTGTCTTGACCCAAGACAGCTTTTGGTACAGAAAGGCAGGGTCTTGTTGGGATTGAATTCCGGACCAACTTTCATGTTCATTCCTTCGCAAATCCAAGCTACTTCCTGTAGGGAATTGAGCATCGGAGGTCGGGCGATGAGTACACATCCATCCAGAAGTTCTTTCGAGCTGGACGTGTGGCTTGATAATGTTTTAGACCTGGACCTTGTGAGCAGATTTAGTCATGAAGACCAACAAAGCTGACGTGATGTTCACTTTTGTTCCTGAAGGACTGGACTGTTGTGGCTGTCATGGCTTTGTCCAAGGAGAGCACACCCCATTTGCTCACTCCACACAATGGAACTGAGAGCTTCTGCTGTAGCTTCCAGCTAGTCGATCTGGGTCCACCTGAGCAGTGTCAAACGCCTCTGATATTTTTATATATGGAGCCCCCATCATCTACCTGGAGCTGTTTTCTGTGAGACTGCCCATCACAAAAAGAAAACTATGCTTTGATCCTATCAGAAATCAGTGGTCCTCATTGGCTGAAGATTACAAATGCGTTGTTTGAAAGTGCTAAAAACCTGCTGGTTTAAAACGTTTGAATAACATATAGATTAATGTACTAAAGACCTCCTATTTGTTTAGCATCGTTGAGCAAAAACAAAAGGTTGTTTCAAGAAGTTAGGTTTCATTACGTTTATTTGTTGCTTTTGTTTTTTTTGGTTGTTGTTCTTTTGGTTTGTGTGTTTTTGCTATGAGTTTCAAGATTGTAAACATATTTTTACTATGCCTTTTCTTTTAGTTCAAAAGTAATACTGTAAATAGAGGAAGTCTAAAATAAATACAAACAAAAAATATTCTGAAACCAAACTTTTCGAACAATATGTGTTTGTTTTGTTATTGTTTCTTGGCGTGTGCTCCAAACAAATGCTAAAATTAAAATAGGATGTTGTTGGCATATGATAAATTCTCTAAAACAGCAGGTTTTTTGCACCAATCCATTTGAATTCCAACGATTTCCGTTTACATTGTTTACATGCTTTTTGATTCCAATTGATTTCCATTTAAATTCCTTTTGATTCCTCTTGATTTGACTCTACATTCTTTAATCAGTTTGGGTTAGCCCAGTACACTAGAAGTCTTGAATCATAGTGTCTGCCGTGTTTGGCTTCAATAATAACATCCCCTGCAATCACGTCTACGCGTTTCATGTTTCTTTAGCTTTTTTTCCCCAAATAGTGCTCCGCACTAAGGGGTTCTTACAGTAAGAGTTAAGGGCCGGGTTTAGATCAGGGTTCGCGCGTGTGGTTGCGGCATTTTGCGTGGGCCGGCTCGCGCAAAAGTTACTTTTTGAATTCCTCATGTCCATTTCGACTGCGCAGGCTCGCATAAGTGGGTGTCGCGGTTTTTGCGCTTCCGGGACAAAGCTCTCGCGCAGGCGCCGTGCTCGTTTTCGGACATGAAGTGCATTTTGCGTGGCAGGCGCAAGGAATTCGACACATTGGAGCCTCGAAAAGGTCATTTTACGTGGCAGGTGCAAGGAATCGGAGACTTTGCAAATTTCGTGGCAGGCGCAATGTTTTGTGGACGTTGCAAAAACGTTGGCAGGCGTGTGTCATTCGCAGGACTGCATTTCACGTGGCAGGCGCAGGGAATCCGCACCATGGATGCGATATTCTGAGGTGAAACGGCTGAATTCGTGAGAGGGGTCGCATTTTTGGAATTTGAACTTGAGGATGATTTTGCGTGGCCAGTGCAGCATTTCGTATGACCTGCAGGCATGATTTCGTGGCAGGCGCAGCATTTCTGAAACGCATTTCAAAATTTGCGAAAGCCTCGTGCAATTGTCTCATTTTGGATCTCCGATGTGCAGAGTTCGTGGCAGGCGCAGCACTTTGTGAATCTCGATGTGCAGATTTCGTAGCAGGCGCAGCACTTTGTGAATCTCGATGTGCAGATTGCGTGGCAGGCGCAGCACTTTGTGAATCTCGATGTGGAGATTTCGTGGCAGGCGCAGCACTTTGTGAACCTCGATGTGCAGATTGCGTGGCAGGCGCAGCACTTTGTGAATCTCGATGCGCAGATTTCGTGGCAGGCGCAGCACTGTGTGAATCTAGATGTGCAGATTTCGTGGCAGGCGCAGCACTTTGTGAAGCTCGATGCGCAGATTGAATCTCGCTGTGCAGATTTCGTGGCAGGCGCAGCACTGTGTGAATCTAGATGTGCAGATTTCGTGGCAGGCGCAGCACTTGCTGAGTCTGGAGCATCTGGGGTCTTGCATTGTCACTGATGCGCTTGTGGTTGCACAGTGCAAGGCCTTGTTGCAGGGTCTCAATTCCAACACAAAGGGCCTTCGTGAAGCCTGCAAGACTGCAGATATCACTCGAAAACGAAATGGAAGGCTTTTGAACCAAGAGGAACTCCGGGAACTCTTCAAGACAAAGCTTTTGAATTTGTTGCCACCCGTGAAGTTTCAAGCAACGACCTTCAAGCCATACTACTCTAGCATTTTTGGCACTACGTTGGTCGCACTCTCCTCCTTACAAACTCACGCCTGGTCCCTCTGGTCTTTCATATGCTTCCGCATCTGCTGCTCTCATCTGTGCACTGTCACATTTGTGCTCTTGTATGTATCCTCTCATATTTGTGCTCTCATCTGTGTGCTCCTTCTTTCCTTCCACGTGATGCCATGTTCCATCTGTTCCTCTTTACACTATTTGGGGTCCCTTGCCGGTGTAATTATTTGTGAACTCCCTTTTAACCTTCCTGTTTGTTTCTATTGATTACCTATTCAACTCCTTTCCTCTTGATTCTTTAAGAGTTAATTAATCAGTTCTTTTAACTCCCTTACTGTATTAGCCTTTGGAAAACTAACATGGACCCTGAAAACCACAGGTTTGTGGAGAAACACAGTCTTTCAGGGTCCCATTCGACCCGGGTCCATCTTACTTTTCGGGAGTGTATATATATATATATCTTATCAAATGATCCAAAAAATAAATATTCCACAAAAAGGGTGGCCCAGTACACTAGACAAATTGAATAAGAAAACTATCTACATTAATGTCTGTCCCTGATCGCTTTAACAATAACACCACCTGGATTGATGTCTACGTGCGCGTCGATGTTCAATGATATTACCCTCTCAAATATTGTTTGCACTTTGCTCTGGCATGATGGTTGAAACAAAAAGTAAATTATCCCCTGCAATGATGTCTATGCTTTTCATTGTTTGCCGTTTGGTTTTAAAAAGAATCTGGTTTGCAATCGTGTCTTGCAATCGTGTCCACGCTTATCCTGTTTTTCTTTATCTTTAAATGAGTGAATTCCTCTTATAAAAAAACATTGTTGCCATTATTGATTACCTATTGAATTCCATTTGTCTTTTGATTGATATCCTCTGAAATCGAAATCCTTTTGAATTCCTTTGATTTCGCTTTAAGCTCTTTAGTTGATTTCTTTTTAGTTCCTTCTTGAGCCGTGTCAACGTATTGAAACAATCTTTTCCACACAGCGGGTAGCCCAGTACAGCAAAGCAGCTCGCAAGCAGGAAAAGGTAGAAGAGCTGAAAAACAAGAAAAAGTAGGTCATGGGGGGTGAGCATATGCATGCTGCATACATACATAATATATATATATATATTATCTAAGGCCAAGGTAGTTGTGAGATGTGTGGTACAGATGTGGGGCGCGGCTATGTGGTGCAATGGCCGGGTGCAAGGTACAGTGGTACGGGACGCTGGTGCGTTATGTAGTGGTACATGGTACGGGCACAAGGTACAGTGGGACAGGACATTGGTGCGTTATGTAGCGGTACGGCGGTGCAGTATGTTAGTAGACTTGGATACATGTAAGCTTAGGAGACTTAAGTGCGCAAGCGGCAGTGGTAGAGTAGTTGTAAGATTGAGCACACAAAGTTCACATTTGTGATATTGTTTTCTTTTCTTTTGTCTGAAAACTCCTCACTGCTGTGTTTTCTTTCACACAGTCACAGTCACAGGCTGTGTTTTTCACACAGTCACAGTCACAGCTATTATTGTTTCCAGTTGCCTCCCTTCAGAATCAGGCTTGAACATTAGTAGAACAATAGTAGTAATATGTAGTAATTTGTAGTAAGCAGCAGATCTCATGACCTGCCGATTCAGCGCAACTGGTTTGATCCTCACGGCCCACGGCTGTGTTCTTACACAGAAAACATGGACTCCAGCGGCATCACGCATGCCACCATCACGAAATGGAATCTGATCTGCGGTTTGCAATCCTTATGAGAAATATCAAAGTTCAAAATAATTTTCAAGCTTGAGATAAATTAACAATTGACAATAGTCAATAGTCATATATAAAAATACAAATCAAAGTATCAAAGTAAAGACAACAGCAATAGTCAATAGTCGAAAGACAGCACAGCGCAACATAGAAATCATCCCTGGTTTAGAACAATGAGGCCAAGTTGCAACGAGACCAAATTTGCAACGTCGTCCAAACGGCTTTCTTCTTCATCAGTGGTGAACTGCATTGAACACACTATGGCCAGTTCAACAGCCATAACAATTGTTGATGGAAACCTGGATGGATGCATTGCTTGGTTTGTTCAAGGCATCGCACCAAGATTCCAAACACACACATGCCAGTAGAAAAAACGAACTAATAGATAATATATAATAGATCGATGATAAATAATACATTACATTATTAATAGCTAGCCAAGTCCGAGGAACGCGTTTCCTGCAATGTCTTGTGCTTGGGAATTAGAAATAGAAGCTGTAGCAACATTGTCTTGATATTCGATGCCTTGCAAGCGCAGCTGCTCTCTACCTGACAACAAACGTCCTCGAGATAAATCCCATACTGTCCCAGATGGCAGCACCGTTGGAACAACCTGCCAGCATTCAAGCAATTAAGCTTTAGAATCTATATACACTCCTGGGTCTATCACACTAAGAAATTTGAACCTGTTCCTTAGTTTTTCTTTGTTTGAAATGCGCACTGCCACAAATGAGGGTATGCAGCTGCATTGCATAGAACTGAACACATAAAAGTCTCATAATCTCATACATATATAGGTCCAGGAGGTCTTTTCACACCCACAACCTGCCTCTGCCGTGGAGGTTGGAGTGCGATGTGCGGTGGTAAAGGTCTGCAAACCTGAGTGGAGGTTTCTTGGACTTCTCCCGCATGTCGTTGGTGTTGAACACGAATGCAAGCACCTGACTCGACCAAAGATTAAGCCAACTATCAAACAGTCAACGACGAGTCAAAAAGTTGAAAATTAAAAGTGAAAAGCTGATTGGGGGTCGCCTCTTGCTCACGATCTGGCAAGGTCTCATACCACGGATTGTTCAGCAGCTGTTTCGGTGCGCTCAAAGGCCACGCTATCGACCCTATAGCGGTGCAGGAAGTAGTTCG